AATGCTTTCCTATATGTGTTTCACGAGTATTGGGTCGACGAGACGGACAACCGGATTAAAGGCTATCCCTTAATCAATGGCGGGCCCACACAGTTCGCCACAATTATGCTCTTATGGCTGGTGTTTGTCATGAAAATTGGGCCCAACTTTATGGCACATCGAAAGCCGTTTGGATTACACAAGATATTAATGATTCATAACTTCTTATTAGTCTTAATCAACGCCTACTATATATACGCTTCACTCAAATGGCTGGACTTCGGTCGCAAGTCGTTGGACCCGAAACTACCCGACCGTAACGACTGGTCCCCTCCGACACTAGCAGTGTTGGACCAGAAGGCTATGTATTTCTACACAAAACTAATCGACTTATTGGACACAATATTTTTTGTGTTGAGAAAAAAATCAAACCAAATCTCTTTTCTACACATTTATCACCATTTTATGGGTATTTAATAATTACTATTTATAAATTATATAGATACTTCAGTAATCCTATACTATTATCAACTTTTTAGTCCCAATACTAGGCTTTTTAGTGGCAAAATTGTGTCCACAATCAGTGATTGTCGAAGTGTTTTGTTTACTCAACTCAATAGTCCATACAATGATGTATTTGTATTACTTATTATCGGCATTTGGACCCCAAATTCAGCGCTACTTATGGTGGAAGAGATACTTAACTCGTATTCAATTAATACAATTTGCAATACTTATAGTGTATGGACTCTATTGTGTCTTATATGGAGATATGACTGAATACCCGAAGCCATTGAAATGGTTTGGTCTCATTCAGCCATTTATTTTCTTTTATATGTTTTACAGATTTTATTTGAAATCCTATCAACACAAACAAAAATCTATTTAAGTAATGACTTTTATCATAATACTGTTGAAAAACACATTTATCATTAAATATTTTATTTTATATTATTTAAATATAGAAATATATAGAAATGCTTAATCTTATTATATTTTCAATAAGGGATGATTCACATATTACGTTCTCACTTGGGGGGAGGGGGTTGAGACCTTAAGAACGTTCGCATATATATGATTTATAGATTTAAGAAATAATTTTAAGAATTTAAATGATTAATTTGTTATCAAAGTTAATTTTTTGAAAACAACTGTTTGAAAACTTTGATTAAATAAATAAACTTTGAATAGAAATAATTTCCAGTTTATGATATGTTTTGAAAATGAAAATAATTTTATAAAAACATTTCTAATATGACCACCTCTAGCACTATTCCTAAAATCACTGTCGATTCCATGTTTATAATTAATGATTTAAATGATTGGTTTAATTTTAATTAAATTATATATAAATTTAATGGTATTTGATTTCTTAAGGGTGGGGGAGGTTAAGGACATGCGAAC